ATGCTTACATATGACAGAAAGTTAAATATTCAAATATTTTATTAGTATTTCCCTACTAAATTATTCTAAGTGTGTTACTATGGTATAAGCAATTCTTAAATTCTCTTCTTCTCTTCTGTAATTATTACTACCTAGTTTTATATTGAACTACAATATGAAATGTATCCTCCATCCACTACAGCCTATTAAAGACCATAGCTGACCATAGGCTTCCCTCATATATTGTCTCATGGAGGCCTTTGCCATAGTTGCTACGCTTGGCAAGCGGGTTGGCAACGTGGTTTTTATTTCCCTCCCATCCCATTTGTTGCCCATCTCCTGTTTCTATTTCCCTCCGTCGCCTCTTTCGACTCCCCTTAGGGAGGATACAGGGTAGTGGATATTCTTACACCGCCACTACACGGTTAGTGAATTGTTTTTTTTTATAGGAGAGGGGGTAAATGAGCATACGGCTCACCTGATGTGAAGTGACCACCGCCGCCCGTGAACTGCAACACCAGGGGAATTGTTGGCTTTGTTGACTGCCTTTTAGAAAGTAGTAAACTCTTTGAATAAAACTAAATTTACGGATTTTATCGCGTTTATTTCACTACTTTTACTTATTTTTAATTCCCGACGTTTCGGGTGCTTTACAGCAGCCATGGTCACGGGGGGGGGGGACTGAGATGTTTGACGTCTCAATGTCATAGTTAGTCCGGCTACCTTCAGTTTTTGAATATTAATTTTTGGTCCGATTTACGCAAAACGAGTTTATAGTATCATGAAGTCTTGCAGTGGTATGCTTAGGTGTGGGTTTAATTTTGTTAATTATAGGATCCCAAGCAGGTGGCAGCACCCATCCATCTTCTCTATTGAAATTTGGATGTTTTTTAATTTCAATAGCCTCGCGTATCATCCTTGGTAGGAATCGGTGTTCTTTTGCGAGGATTTGTGGTTTATCAAAACGAATGTAATGGTGGGGACGATCTTGAACATGTTCGCAGACTGCAGACTTCCCGGAGCGTCGGTGCTTCACGTCAGCTATATGTTCTAAATTCAAGAAATCAGTAAACTCTTTTCTTGAAGGTCCATAAGTCTGGTCCGGAAAAATCGCCGGTGGTAAACTATTCCACAGAGAGGTCGTATGCGGAATAAAACTCCTAGTGAAACGTACAATGGTGGACCGCCAAGCATCCAGATGGTGTGGAATTGTATAAGTAATACGAAATTTTATATTTCTAATACTATAAATACTATTAGAAATATAAAATTTCGTATTACTTATCTAAACGTAACAATCATATTTAGAATAAATTTATGTAAGATTATATGTAAAAATCATTTACAGTTCATAAAGTAAGAACCTTACAAATTGGGAGAATTTTTGTATGTTTATCTTTCAAAGAAACTGCTTAGTTACAAATAGTCACAGTAAGAAAAATAAACAAAAAAGATTAGAGCGTCTCCCACGGTAGACGTAATTCGACTTACACGTGTTATGGCATCAGATGGTCCGTGATTAGGCTTTGGAGACATGCGATAGCCAAGTCTAAATGGACGTGTTTTTCAGTTAACTAGCTTCAATTGTATGTCTTGTTCTCGATAAATTCTACAAACAGTCCGTCAATATATTCATACATGCAGAATTTAAATGTTGTTTAATGTAGCATAATTAAACGTAAAATATTAGCGGTAAATTTATTTAAGATATTTCTTGATATAAATTTGCAATAAATGTATTTAATTAGAAATATGTATATTTGTTTGTTTAAAAGTATTTTGCAGTTAATTTTAATTTAATAGTCAGTATGTATTATTGAAATTATATCCTTGCGTTAAAGGTAAAAGAAAGATTTCGTATCGAACAAAGGTAAATTATATCCTTGCATTTATACGTGGTAGAGCCATGCTGCAGTTTTATTAGTAGTATAGTTGAAGCACAAATGGGTCGGCTAACGACCGGGGAGGGACCACGCTCTCACAGAATACCAGCGTAAAATAGTAGCATAATGCTGCTGTGTTTTGTACGGTGAGTGTAGAGAGCCAGAGACCCTTTTACTGGAAACGAGGCATTCCATCTTCGTGTTCACGGGTGACAATGCATTTGCGTTTTGATTTGTAATCGAGGATAGATGTAGATGTCTATGGGCCGCAGCAACCACTTACCATCAGGTGGATTGCGTGCTCGTTTGTCACGCTATCCTAACAAAAATTAAAGGTAAAAGAAAGATTTTTTTAGTTTTAAGTGTGTTTAGTTTTAAGATGTCCACGGGGACATCTTAGTAAGGCAAGCAAGTATGGACTTGTCTTCATCTGCAGATCATCTGCCTTGAAGCGAGTAAAGACAGCTTAGCGAAAATCTTAAAGAGTTTTAAACTTTCTTGAGCGTCGCGAAGATTTTTTATTTAATTCAACAAAACTAATGTAACAAGCGAGCTTACTCCACCTGATCCTATGGAAACCTGCAGCTAATCTGAAACCAAAAGGCTACAGCTGCCTTGTTATTTCTGAGGTCTGATATGGAATTCCTCACAGCCTGTAACTACACAGGCTTTTTATACCCTTCAAAGGAAACAAAAGTGTAGGCACTGCTAAATAAAGTCATACCTACCTAGACGATATCATAGGCTAAAAAGGAGTCGTATGACTTAGTAAAGACAATTATAGACAATGGTATCAACACAAAGAAATAGTTAATATTTAAAAGAAAAATATCTCTTAAAATTTTTTTCTGTGATTCGGTTTGTATTGCCTTTTTGAAACTGAAAATTGAGTTTAAACTGTTTGGCGACACGGTAAAACATGGTGTGGGAAACTCCATGTTAAGTAATTTAAATATTTTAAGGGCATCGGAAAATCCGCCGACATACATAGTGATAGTGCGAGAAACCCTATTAGAAATTACAGGAGTCCTGGCTTAAGCAGCAGTGACATGTGTGTATATGCTTTACTTTTTACAATCTTATTGTTGTAATCATCATACATATTTCACGTAGTAAAAGTTTATAGAATATATTTCGATTCATATCTAGTAGTAGTAGTAGTTTATAGAATATATTTCAATAAGCTAGCCAATGAGTTTGAATTCGATTTGTTTAACACTAGTGCTGCGTCAGCTAGGCGCATACTTAACAATGCATTTTTTGGTAGCTCTAAGTGAGATATTGATGCTTTGCTACACAACTATGATTTACTTTTGTATTTGTGTTTATTTTTCTGTTAAAAATAGCTTGTAGTGTTATTGACTGTCCTAAGTATGAGTTGATTGTCTTTTATATGTATAATACAAGTTTAGCTCTCATTTGGCATAAATATGTTGTATTGGATACTTTCGAGTGTTAAATCGTATTTATCACTGTTGTAAATTCACTTTTGTATCTATTAGTGAAGATCTTTAATTGGCTTACTGTTGTTATTAATACTATCTATCCTAATTATGATAGCTGTTGGTATTCCAAATAAAATAAAAATATATTATAACAGCAATTTTAAGTGCTGATTTATCACGTGTTCGGCGGTGAAGGAAAACATCGTGAGGAAACTTCAATGTCTGAGAAATTAAAAAAACCAAGACATATAAAATCCAACACGCATCTAAGGCAGCGTCGTGGATGTTTCCTTCACCATAATGAAATAATATAAACCCTCACAGAAATGAAAAGGGGGCCTATGGTGAGATTTGAGACATATGCAGCCTGTATCTTCACTTTCCTTACGCTGCCATCACACGGAAAGAGATTTATAATGCTACTAGCGATCCGGTCCGGCTTCGCACGGGTGATTGCCGGATCTCGACTACAGCATCACCTACCGGGTCCAATTTAGGACGAGAGCAGTGACAAACACACGTACAAAAGAATTATGTACGTACATAAAGATGTGGAGTTAATTCTAATTTTAAGTGTTATTTCGTTTCTCATTATGTAAGAAATGTTTCCATTTTAGTGAGTTTTGTTAAATTACATATAATATGTAAGTACCTAGATGATCATTAATTATAAAAAAAATTGGCAAAATGCGTGTTAGATGCGACACACGTGACGTACAATTCCGCTGTACACAACATATTTAATATTTTGCAAAGTTTAATTTCTACAGTTTTACTGATACATATAATATCGTGATATATATATAATCGAGTCAATTCAATTTTTCATTTTATATTATTTAAAAAGTTAAGGTTTGTAAAAATAACTACACCACATTATTGGGACTTTAAATGTCATTATTCCAAAAAATAAATAATTGATTTTTGTTTGAACAATATGATCCTAATTTTACTTTTCAATATTTTCGATATATTTTACTATGAATTTAAAACATAAAAATTTAGTCCTTACTTTTTTATTTAATTGATAAAAAATTCTAGAAGTTATGATACTATAATTATAAAACATTAGAAAAGATTTACACAATCAGATATGTAAATAATAAGTTGCTGGCTAAACATTTAGAGCCATTGCAGTTATAGAACTGTCTATTTTATGATGCATTTGAAGGTCGTTGATATTTATAAAATTAGTAGTTAGCAAATTAACCCCTCAACAATCACGCCTTCAAAATGCGTAAGATACACGAGCGACCTCCTTTGAGCGGTAACTTGAGGAGCTGCATTCATTGAATCACGCAGGCCTAACTCTTCTACGCTGCATCGCTGCTTATCCAATATTTTTGAGTGAAAACACGCGTGCCATCTGTCGTAAGCCGATGCAGTGCGGGTCCCACCCGTCATCTCTACGACCCTCCATGCCCCGCGCTCTCTCCCACTTCGACACCCATGCGGCTTTCGTTCGTCCAAACTTACGTAGGTCAGTTACCGCCCGACCGCAGGGGAGTATGGATGCGTCAAAAGTTTTTCCACGGTCGCGCATTCTGTTTACATTCGATAAAAAACGTGGTGTATTAACATCGATATAAACAATCGTAAACTGTCTGAAAAGTGATAAAAAGTTTTTAGTAGCATATTAAGTGATTTGAATGAACTGTGTAATAGTAGTAATATGACCAAAAACTTTTATGGAATGATTTCGTTAAAAGTTTGGCTGTGTTTGGTCGTGGTGGCTAGTGCGCGCGCACGCTCCGCGCCGCCTGCCCCCGCCGGCTGTCAATGGGATTATTCGGACACAAAGTTGAGTGAATCTAACTTTCTCACGTGTAACATCAAAACCATTGGCTCTGCAGACTTCTTGTTCAAAAACATTACTACGGCGCAGGCGTACAATATCAACAAGTTAAAGTTGACATGTACCGATTTGCTTTTCTTCGAGAGCTCGCTGCACATGAACACCGGCAGCTTTTTGGGACAGCTGCGAAAACTTGAAGACCTGCGCATAGAATACTGCAAAATACGCTATGTACCAGCAACTGTTTTATCTCCGTTACGTGATTTAATTAGCCTGACTCTTCGATCATTTAATACCGATTGGCCTGCAATGACATTGGAGTTTCACGCAGAAAGTTTTCGAGGTTTGATGGAACTTCGTTCTTTAGATTTAGGTGATAACAATATTTACATGTTACCCTCTGAAGTGTTTTGTCCACTTTTTAGTTTAGAATCACTTAATCTTACGAATAATAGAATTCAAGACATTTCCGAAATTGGTTTCTCCGACTGGGGAAAAGGGCCTATAGCTCCTGGTAAATCATGTAATACTGGATTAAAAATGCTTGATTTGTCGCAAAATAACGTATTAAGGCTTCCCGATAATGGACTTTCTAGCTTGAGATCTTTAGAAGTCTTGAATATTCAAAATAATTTAATAAACGAAATTGGAGATAGAGCTTTTGTAGGATTGAATTCATTGAAGATTTTAAATTTATCGGGAAATAAATTAGTCGCCGTCCCTCCTGAACTTTTTCAGTCCTCACGCGTTATCAGAGAAATCTCATTATCAAATAATTCTCTTTCTGTATTGGCTCCTGGACTTTTGGAGGGGTTAGATCAACTTGAGAAACTAGATTTGTCGAGAAACCGACTGACTAATGATTGGGTAAATAGAGATACATTTGCTGGCTTGATAAGACTTGTGATATTGAATTTATCTTACAATTCTCTTGCTCGTCTAGACCCAAAATCTTTTCAGGATTTAAACAATTTACAAGTTTTAAATTTAGACAACAATATCATTGAAACCGTAAGTAACGGTGCTTTTGCTGAATTAAAAAATCTTCACCAATTATCAATTTCAGACAATAAAATAAAAATGTTAAACGAGCACATTTTTTCAAACTTGTTTGTCCTTAGTCAGTTATACTTAGATAACAATCAAATTTCTGTCATTCACGAACGTTGTTTTGAAAATATAACATACTTGCAAGACCTGGGTTTGAACGGAAACAGCTTAAACAAAATACCGGATAGTATAAAAAGGCTTAGATTTTTGAAATCACTTGATATTGGAAAAAATAACATAACAAAAGTATCTAACACATCATTTGAAGGTCTAGAAGAGCTTTACGGTTTGCGGCTTGTTGATAATCATATCACAAGCATATCAAAAGATACATTCAGTACTTTGCCCTCATTGCAAGTATTGAATTTAGCTTCGAATCAAATAGAAATTATCGAACAAGATGCATTTATAACAAACCCTACTTTAAAAGCAATCCGCTTAGATGGAAATAAGTTAATCGATATACGTGGCGTTTTTAATAAATTGATTACTCTCGGCTGGCTTAATATATCTGACAACAGACTTATATACTTTGACTATAGTTATATGCCTACAAGTCTTGAATGGCTTGATATACATAGTAACAACATAACAAGACTAGATAACGAGAAAAACGTGCAACAAAACATTCGAATGCTTGATGTAAGTTACAATGCTTTGGAAAATATTGATGAAAGGTCTGTACCGGATTCTATTGAGATTCTTTTCATAAATAACAACAAAATTCACACGATTCAGCCAGGTACGTTCTTACAAAAAAGAAACTTAGAAAAGGTAGTCGTGACGGATAATAAATTGAGAATCGTCGAACTATCAGCGTTCACACTGCCCCATATACCGAAGCATAGGTTATTGCCAAAGTTCTTTATTGGAAACAATCCATTTGTTTGTAACTGTCATATGATTTGGCTACAAAAGATTAATCTTTGGAACCATATGCGACAATATCCAAGGTTTGTGGATTTGGATATTGTAACATGCGACGTTGTCAACAACAAATATGGCGGCAAGGCTAATTTAATGGAAGTTCCTGAAACACAGTTCCTTTGCTCATATGATACTCATTGTTCGTCTAGTTGCTTTTGTTGCGAGTTTGAAGCTTGCGATTGTAAAATGACGTGTCCCGAAGGCTGCTCTTGTTTCCATGACAGCAATTGGAACTCCAATGTAATTGATTGCTCTAATGTTGGTTATACAGAAATACCTGAAAAAATACCTATGGATGCGACTGAACTCTACCTGGATGGTAATGACTTCAGATCTCTGGGCAGTCACTTATTTATTGGAAAGAAAAAGTTACATAAACTATATCTAAACAACAGTAACATCGTCTATATAGACAACGACACCTTAAATGGTCTTCATTCATTAAATGTACTTCATCTTGAAAACAATCGTTTAACTGAATTATCAGGTGGAGAGTTCTCGCAGATGAAGCACTTACGAGAGTTATATTTAAACGATAACCTCTTGACAAGTGTAGCCAATACAACTTTTAAATACTTACCATCTCTTAGGGTAATGCATTTGCAAGGAAATAAAGTTCTCGACCTGGACAAAAAAATTATATATAATAACAATTTAGAAAGTGTGGTTGTGCAAGGAAATCTATTTACATGTACGTGTAAAAATGTGATGTACTTAAAAAATTGGTTTAAGAAATACTACGAAGATCCCGTTGATATGTTTTGTGCCGATGAAAATGGCTTAATAACGAATTTAACAGTGTTTGATGTGATTGATAAGTGTCGTGATTCTAGTATAGCGGACAATACAATTCCTACAGAAAACCAACCATACCAGTTTGACGAAGTCAGTACAATAAAGCTAAACTTTGTGCCACTATTAGCAGTTGTTCTAATTAGCGTTATTCTTATTTTATTGTTTGGTGCTTTAGCCTTTTCCTTTAGACAAAATGTCCGCCTATGGGCTCATTCTAAATACGGAGTAAGATTGTTCAAAAGTGCTTCAATTCAGGAAAGTGAATTAGATCGCGATAGATTATACGATGGATATGCTGTATATAGTTTGTTAGACGATGACTTTGTATCTAAAGTAGTCGCACCTGAAATGGAGCATTCTGGTTATACCATGTGTTTTCACTATAGGGACTTACAACACGCCCCTGAAAATTATCTTGCGGAACAGATAACAAACGCAGCAGAATCATCCAAAAGGATCTTAGTTTTTGTATCATTTAACTTTTTACAAAATGAATGGTCTAAGGTGTCTTTCAAAGCAGCCATAAAACATGTCATCACTTCTATTCACCCTTCCATTAGGCGTCACAGAGTAGTATTCATTTTGACAACAGATGTTAGTGCACTAAATTTAGATGTCGATTTTCAAAATTACCTTAAAACTTGCAACGTTTTACTTTGGGGTGAAAAAAAGTTCTGGGAAAAAATTAGGTTTGTCATGCCGGATATTTCTAACTCACAATGGAATAAAGATAATTTGAATTACAATCATGGCGTTTGCCCAAATGCTAGGCGGCATCCTTCTAGATACACAGCATCGCCTACAGCCCCGGAGCTATGGTATAAATACGACGCCATCCCTGCACAAACCCAGCCTAATGTCAACATTGGTATCAACATTGAAGATGACACTTCAATGTTGACCAATACAACGTTGACAAGTCAAATCCAAGATGGCGACAATCTGCACCATAGCTATATTTCTATAGACACTCAAAACTACGAACAACCGTATGTTAGTCGACCTAGGCCCCCAAATTCTCTTCGTAAACATCCTGGCCACAATTCACCGTCGATGCTCGATGAACACGGCTACTTACAGCCCCGCTCTTCTGTACACGAGTGCTTACCGCAAACCCATTCAGCCGCACACAGATGATGATAACACGCCCCTAAATATACCTTATCTTAAAAGATATTCCTTTATGGAACATCACATTCCAAACACATGTGTAAACCAGTATGCTTTTGTGTTGGCCATGCCTTAAATAACGTGATAAAATATGCCATGTGTTATATATATTTCGATCAAATGATAATCATCTGAAATCCGTGGTCCATACCTTATTAAATTAAAGTTATATGTATTAAGACTGTTGTTAATAACTTAAATATGTGTAATAAAACCCTAAGTGTATATTAGAGTAACTTGATATCAATGTTACTACCATATTGTAATAACCTCCTTATAACCTACTATAAACATGATTGTTATACGTAAGACTGATACAAAAATAATGTATAGTTTAAAAAATATTATTGCCAGTATCAAAAGTGAATTGAATAGTGTATTTTGTTAGAGAACGTTATGTCATTGTTACCAAATATTATTGTATAAATTAATGTAAAAATGTATTATATTGTTATACTAGTCATTAGTTAGGACTTCATAAATATGTTGAAATTTGTACATAAATATCTTCTTCATAAACCTAATTACCTATTCGCAAATATTGATTCTGCCTTATAGGATATATGTAATTATAAATTTTCAATTCACACTTCATATTGTCAAGCTTGTGAAAAGGTATCATTTATTGTCATTTTATAACTGTAAATCATACTATCAAATTAAAAATAAAATAATTTATATCAATAACTTTTTTTATTATGCAAAACGTATGTTTACCTATATGTTTTTTTTTCTTTTCAAAACTTTACCCCTACACTAAGATTTTCTCCTGTATCGTGGAGGTAGTTTACAAATTTAAATTACACAAAGACAAACCCTCAGACCCGGAACCATTATTCGCAGGCCATTCAAATACTTGTTTCCGTGCGGGATTCGAACCAGTGGCTCTTTGCTGTGCAACTCAGTGCTAAACCACTGCGCCATGGAGTCGGCAATTTTTCATCATTATATGTTTTGCTAACTATAATATAAATTAAATCTTTAATGCACTAAATAAAGATAAAATTACTATAGATAACTATAAATTCCATTAAAATTTAAATCTTTATCAAGATAAATTCAAGAAAAAAAATTATTACATTTTAATTGCTGCTAACAAAGAAATATTTTACTAATATTTTGATTACATTTTATCTCTTTCAATTTAATGTTTTACCGACAAAAGCAACAAAGGAAAAAACATAGAATAAAAGGCGGTAAAGTACAACAGTTATGTTCATTTAAAGAATTGAAAAATAAGAGAACGGATGAACGCTACAAAAAAGAAGTGATTCCGGCTTGCCGACAATCATCGAAAGCCATAATGATGGTCCCTTTTCAGGTAGAAAACGCACCCAAGTCATATTTCAACAGTCACGGGTATTCTATGGTAGATATAAAAGTGATTTACAATACACTATATTCGAAGCTAGTTACGGTTGGTATTAATGTGACCATCCATTGGACATGGCTCGAAGAGTGTTTATTGATTTTTTGTAGAAGTGTCAGGATGGTCGTACCATATGGTGTGACATACTTTGGATGACCGCCGACTGACCGGTTTTTTTTTCCAATAAGCCCGCAATGGATAGCAGTGCTTATAAAACTGACAGTGTTTACTCTTTATTAAAATTAGGTTCTGTTAGATTTCCTTTATATGAATTAAATTTTATAAACGTATCATTTATAATTTATAAGTATGAAATAAATAAGAGCACATATGAAAGAGGTTGTAGTGGCTTCAAACAGAATTTTTAGTGATATTTTTTTTAATAGTGTAAGGGTGACAGGTGACTACGCAGTCCACTTGATAGCAAGTGGATGTTATGGCCTATAGACATCTACATATATCCTCGATTAATAATCAAAATTCAGATGCGTTGTCAAATCCAAGAACTAAGATGAAATGCCTCGTTTCCAGCCAAAAGGGTATCCGGTTCTCTACACTCACCATACGAAACACAACGGTATTAAGCTACTATTTTACGCTGGTATTCTGTAAGAGTGTTTCCCCAGTCGAGCCGACCCACTGAAGCTACAACCATAATAATATAGCTGCGAAGTGGCTCTACCCCAATTATATTTTATTTTTCTATCATCTTTTCCTTAGTCAATACAATCTCAGCTACAGCACTTTTAGGTTCACTAGCATGTGTTTGTGTTCACCGATAGCCTTTTTCTCTTTTCTTAAAAGAATATGGAGCAATATATATATATATATATATATATATATATATATATATATATATATATATATATATATATATATCGCGCTGCTCTGTTGCGTGAATTTTTGGAATCCATAAGACTATCAAATGTTTTTTTATTCACTAATGCACACGTGGTAAATCAGTGCTTAATTGAAATAAACAATTTAGTTGGTGTCAATTGGGAATGAGCTTGGGTCGCTTAAGTACAGTGAAGCCCCTGAGCAATTACACTCGAAACAAATTTCAATAAGTACCAAACCAAATTTCTAAAATCCCCGCCCTGCACTAATAGCAGAGATTCAAAGTGGACATTCCATTATGCTATAAAAGAGCGCTATTATTAATGCTTATTTTTTAATATTTCTTTGTGAGCTATGGAGACGAGTCTCTGTGCGATAGACTTCGTAATGACATTTGCAATAGACACAGAGTAACCGACATAACACAACATCACAGATCTGTGAGCTCGAAAAACCGACGACTGATGGGGAAGATGGTTTTCGAGTGTCAGCCTCATACTGGTAAGTGAAGAGTAGGAAGGCCCCACATTAATTAGTGTAACGGCATGTGGTCCTTCCCCGGTCGAGACGACCCATTCGTGCTACAACCATAATATAGCTGCTGCGTGGGTCTACCACGTATAAATATGTTATTGCAATAGGGAAATATTTCATACCCAATAACTTAAATGCAGTTAACAAATTAATTATTATCAATCAATTAGTTAATATCATACTTTATATACATCATAATATAATATCATAGCCCAACGGATAAGTAATCTGAAGTGGCAATAAGCCGGCCATATAGTTCGAAGAACCGACAACCGACGGGGAAAAAAGATTCTCGAGAGGCAGCTTCGTACCGGTAGGCGAAGTGTAGGGTGACCCCCATTGGATACGGTGGCGACCTAGTAAGACATGCAGGAAGTCGATGGATGCAGGTGGCTCAGGACCCTGCTTTGTGGCATTCCTTGGGGGAGGCCTATGTTTAGCAGTGGACTTGTGAAGGGCTGTAATGATGATGATGATTATACTTCATATGTAACATAGCTTAATAATATACATCTTATGGAAAAGAACATGTCCTCTAGTAAATATTCACTCACCGATGATGGGAATTGTAAGAATAAACGGGAACGTTTATACAAATTTGTCAATTATGGACATAATCTCGCAGAAATTTATTTTTATATCACCGCTCATTTTGATATATCTTTAGAACTATCGAGTAAGCTACAATATTATTCTCGGCCACAACAAGAAATATGTAGCTTATACTTTTATTACGTTTCACCAGTATCATATTTGCATTATTACCGTAATATTATGTCATTTATTAAACACCAAGAATGAAGGCGAGACGATTGTAACGACAACTTGCACATCATTATTCGTTAAGCTGTTCAACCTGCAGGAAATCACAAAAGAGCATACTCACATACATAATAATACTTACAAGCGAAAAATATAGCCTTCTTTTTGGGACTACATAATGGTTTTTAAATAAAATAAAACAATAAAATGTAATTTTGACTTTAACTGTGGATTTTAAATATAAATAGCGAAATTAATTAGACATAATTAATTACATCGATTAAATTTGTTAAACGGTTGTAATTTTGAGCATATTTATAAAAAAATATTATAGATTACTATCACCTATAACTATGCCGACATGTACTATTATAACATTTTAATCCGTTAGATGTTTGTTTGGTACAACGAGTAGACATAATAAGATGTCCCAATTTTTAAGACACATGCGCCTTTGAGACACTTGTAGTATCAGAGCGTAACCTATAATATACCCAAAAAATTGTTTTTTTTTGCATTTCAATTATCTGATATATACCTGAATAGAAGGGAATTTAATAGGAATAAAACATCTACCTAACTCAAAGTTTATCTTCGTTCAATACAGCCCTAATCTATTTCTTGTTATAGTTATCAATATCTGAAGATATCGGAGCTATCTCAGGATTTCACGGTTAAACGCACCACTGCACTGCCTGCTTCGATCATTTCCAATGTGTCCTCAAAATTAGATAAGGAATTGACCGTAGATTTGAAATCCTTTCTGCTACTGTTGTTGTCTAATAGCTTATTAATTTATGTTTTCTTTTACGATACCGAATACTTACTCTCATGTTGTGCTAAAACTGTAAATAAATTAACCTAATTCCTAAAGTGGCAATGAAAGTGTAAAATAAAAACGTATTAATATGTATGTTGGTCGAGCAAGTAGATGATTTGGGATGTGTATTTAGCAGAGATGGGAGATTGTTAAGGATGTAGAACGACGAGTGAACGCAGGAAATAGAGTAAATGGGGCTCTACACTCCATTATGGAAAGGCACAATATATCAAAAAGACACGTATACACATGCTGTGTTAGTCTCTATTTTAACGTACAGTAGTGAAATCTGGGTGTGGCAGAAGAAGCACGAGAGTAGAATAAACGCAATAAAAATGCGGTCATTAAGAAGTATGTTAGGGCTGAATCTGAGTGACACAATATTGTGACCAAGATTAAGAAAGTAATGCTTCGGTGGTTTGGTCTTGTAGAAAGGATGAATGTGGAAAGAGTGACAAAGCTAATTTATATTGCAGAAATGAACGGCGAGTCGGAAAGGCACGTCCTAGGCGAAAGTTTATCGACCAAATTGGTGATATATTGAAAATGGGCCACATTAAGAGTACCCTTAACCACGGTAATTTTATCTATATTACCGTGCCTTAACTAACGAGCATTTATGCGTAGGTATAAGGATGTAGA